TCCAGGCTGGCCTCGAACTCACAGAAATCCACCTGGCTCTGCCTCCCGAGTGCTGGGATTAAAGGCGTGCACCACCACCACCTGGCTTATTATTATTTTTTAAACTGTGTGTGTGTGTGTGTGTGTGTGTGTGTGTGTGTGTACACATGTGAGTGCTGGTGCCTGCACAGGCCACAAGAGGGCGGCAGATCCCCTAGAGCTGGTGTTCCAGGTGACTGTGGGCTGCCTGACATGGGAGCTGAGATCAGGCCTTAACTCCTGGGCCACTCCCCAGCCCTATATGCTAGGATCCCTGAAATCAGTGGACATCTAAGCTTGCTATTGGCCAGGCAGCAACATTGCCATTGTTGCCACGGCCTGTAGAAACAAGTCAAAGTTGGCAGAACGGGTGTCAACAGCTTAGAAGAAACCCGGGTAGCAGTGGGATTTTCTTTTCAAAATGCTGTATCAACGATGGGCTGTGATGGCTCAAAGGACAACAGTATGGGGGAAGCAGACCGGCCCGACACAGACTAAAACATTCAGAGGTGCGCTGGCCCCTGAGTGGAGGCCAAGTTCAGACCAATTTATTAATTGATTTATTTGCATTTCCCTTTTGTGTCTGCATAAGAACGCCGTATACTAGAAGTCTAAGCCTAGAGGAATAGTGTAAGCTTGATAGATAGTGACAGGGAAAAAATCCTGGTGTGGCTTGTAACTAAGTATTTTTACTACCCAGAAAGTAAAAAGTACTTTTGTCACGGTGAGCTCAACAGCATTTCCTTTTCTTTCCCTGTGATAAGATAACGGTGCATCCTTCTAATGTCTGTGCTTTGCTTTTTGATAGAGCATGGCAGCAATCAGCTGGGCACATACTGAGAGCGCAGTAAACAGCTGCCGTGGGTAACGGTATTAGCAAAAGGTCTGGGGTTATACTTGTTTCTGTTACCTTCAGTTACATTTAAAAAACAAGGTCTTATTCTTAGTTTTGCTTACGTGTATCTGTGTGAATGTATGCTGTGTGTGTGTGTGTGTGTGTGTGTGTGTGTGTGTGTGTGTGTGTGTTTATATGTGCCCCTGGAGGACAGAAGAGGGCACTGGATACCCCGGAGCTGGATTACAGATGGTGAGTCACCTCATGTGGGTGCTGTGAACTGAACTCAGGTCCTTGATAAGACAGCATTCTTAACCACTGACCCATCTCTCTAGCCTCCCTTCAGCTAGAATTCAAGAGAAATACGTCATTGTCTATGAAGATAACGCACCATGGAGGAGGGGCTCCTGAGCTATCGGCAGTTAAAGACGGATGGCTGCTAGTGGAGGGTGAGTCACTCTTCTTCAGTAGCCACTAGGAAGCTGCCCATGAGTCTGTGAAAAAACAAACAAACAAACCCCATACTCACGCTCATAGAGGCTACCCTAATCAGACTCAGTGGGTCATAGAAAAATAAAGACATGGATGTAAGAGGGGCTGTGCTGGGAAGGAAGGGTCCAGAGGGAATGAAGGATGGAAAGGGTGTGTATGAAAACGATCAAAATAATTATACAAATGTGTGAAATTACCAAACAATACATTTTAAAACGTAACATAGAAAAGCTGACTGAGAAAGGAAAGAAAGACAAAGAAGTAATGCTTTTAATACCCCACCCCTCCATGGCTGGCATGAATTCCCTGCACGGAGGAGACAGAGAGAGAAGAGATGGGCACGAGTGAGCTGTGCTCGGGATTCAATCATAAACCCACCTTCTAAAAACCAGGCTTCGGGAAGTTTATGGAAAGCGGAGCTGTAAGAATAAACCATAAGCCTTCCACTTACTCCAAGCAGGGCCCAAATTAATGGGGTGTGGGACAGGGATTATAAATTCTTCCCATCTGCTCCTTCACTTATGCCTCACAGTACTCGGACAGAGGTGTAAGAGGTATAAGAGGTGTCCACTTACAGGGGGGGCCCTGCACATTTACCAAGTCACAGCCTACACCACATTCCTGGGGCTTTTCTAAATTCGCTGACATGGATGTGTTTTATTGGTTTGATTAGAGCTATGACAAACATTGCCACGATTTACCAAGCCAGTCACAGAGGCTGTGAGATGATCAAGTATGCACGCTCTAATATGTAAGGGGGAAGAGGAAGAATGGAAATTCCTCTCAGGTCATGGTAAGTTAGGCTGTCTGTGTGTACCCGGGAGGGACAATGTTATGAAAAACAGCTCTTGACGGAAGCTTTCTACAGTAATGTCACAGAATCAAGACACAAAGAAGAACAATTGTTGTGGGGTTAGAGAAATGATGGTATTGAAGGAATCCACCGTGGCAGCTCCCTATGCTCCACAAAAGGATCGCCAGCTGAGCGATGCAGAGAAGTCTGCCACACGACAACCACAGAGCGGGTCAGGCTGTCTGATTTTACACATACAAGTGGCGCCACATACTAATTTGTGTGCTCTGAAATTTCTCCCTACCTTAAAGACAGTGTCTTATCTTGAAGATGCTAGTTTAAAAATTTCTAATTTGTCCTTGAGTTTTCAGTGCACAAATGTCAGCTGGTCTCACTTCTTGGAACGAATGCCCCCCCTTCTTTTTCACAAAACCATTTATTTTTAATTATGTGTGTGGGGGGTATGTACATGTGAGTGTAGTGCCCATGGAGGCCAGAGGAGACAGATCTCCCTGTAGCTGGAGTTACAGGTAGTTTTGAGTTGCCCAATGAGGGTGCTGGGAACTGAACTCGGTCGGGTACTCTGTAACATCAATAGGCAGTAAGCAACCGTGAGCCATTGTTCCAACCCTTCCCCCAAATCCCTTCAACGGGATTTAACTTGTGTAGGTGGTAGTGGTAATTGAACCTAGGACCCTGTACACAGTTACATGCTCTACCACTGAGCTACACTCACAACCTAGATTGCTTGCTTAATACTACCATTCCCCCCACTCCACCCCCTCGCCGGGACAGGTTCTCACTTTGCAGCCCCAGCTGTCTTGGAACTCACTATGTAGACCAGGCTGACTTCAAATTCACAGAGATCATCTGCCTCTGCCTCCCGAGTGCAGGGATCAAAGGTGTGCGCCACAATAGACTAATCCTACCATTCTTAACTCCAATCATCTAGAAAGCCATTCCATAAGTGGTGAGCTCATTATCATTAGCTATTATGGGAAAAGCTATTCTTCACTATAGTCAATATTCTATTGGAAAATGCCAATGTTTTAGAACAGGAAATGTTCAATTAGAAAGTAAAACACAAATCAGAGAAACTCGAATTCAGATTAAGTTGATTGAGGAATAGACAGGCAAGTGTAAGAAAGATAGAGTTTGAGACTCAGAAACATGTATTCACTGAAGCTTTAACATCCAAAGTGAGAAGGCAGAGTGGACACGGAGGGTGAAAGGCACAGTATCTAGCGGGCCAGAGTACCAACAGTATCATTTCAGTAAGAAAGATGTGGAGGGCTGGGCAGTGGTGGCGCACGTCTTTAATCCCAGCACTCAGGAGGCAGAGCCAGGCGGATCTCTGTGAGTTCGAGGCTAGCCTGGTCTACAGAGTGAGATCCAGGACTGGCACCAAAACTACACAGAGAAACCCTGTCTCAAAAAACCAAAAGAAAAAAGAAAGAAAGATGTGGTGGTACGGGTCTCAAACCCCAGTACAAAAGAAGCTGAGGCAGGAGGATCCTGAGTTTGAGCAGCCTGGGATACATAGTGAGACCCTGTCTTACCAAGCGTAACCACCCCCATGCCCCCCCAAAAGAAGAACAGTATTTCTGAAAATAGGAAAATAATTCAATCTCATTTTCTTATTTCCCTTTATTTTTGAGACAGGGTTTTCTGTAGCCCAGGGTGGCTCTAAATCGCTCCTGCCTCACCTTTAGTTTACGCGTTGCTGGGCAACTGAAACCAGGACTCCCTGCATGGCGGACAGGTGCTCTACCCACTGAGCTACCTCCGCAGTCCCCATTGAGTCTTTTATGATGACAATTGGGAAAAACAGAAAAGAAACAACCAACCAACCAACCAAACAAACAAACAAAGTCCTCTAGTTTGCCCCTGTTCAACTATCCACTGATTGGCCAATCAAGCTCTTCCGATGACCAAGGAAAATCGGATAAGGCAGGTCACGTGAGAAGTCACTGGCTAATTAAGATTCTCTTAACTATTATTTTTGTTTGCCGGGCACTTGAAAGTCTTTGAAGTTTGTGTATGGTCCACAGAGGTTTGTGATCACAGCGGCCTCACCCTGTAACACCTACGCGTGCTGTGAGTTCATTATTTTTAGCTTTTCTAGTTACTTTCAAGCTTCTTTTTGCATGTACGTGATCAAAAAAACATAACAAGCTGTCCTCAGCAAAAGAGAATTTCAGAACCCCAGGAGATGAAGGTGGCCTAGAGATGGGGAAGGACAAGTGGGGAGAAGGAGAGAGGCTGGGCCCCCATTTCTTTACTTTTTTTTAAAGACAGGGTTTCTCTGTGTAACCCTGGCTGTCCTAGGACTCACTCTATAGACCAGGCAGCCTCGAATTCACAGAGATCCACCTGCCTCTGCCTCCCGAGTGCTGGAATTAAAGGCGTGCGCCGCCACTGCCCATTTCTTTACTTTTTTTTTTTTTTTTTTTGAAACCAGAACGTTTATTTTATGACTGACTGAAATTCCTCAAGATGAACCGGATGCTGCACCAGCTGCCCTCTTGGGTTTCGCTGTTGTCCCTTCACGGAATCCACGTATGAATCTTCGATAGACAATTTTCAGGTGCCCCATCCGCCCAGTCCCAGTAGTGTTTCGTCTCTTAGCCTTGGCACTCCAGTTACACTTTCTCTTGCGCTTGGCCGGGTAGCCACACTTGCCACAGGCCGACTTCTGAAGGTGGCAGGCCTTAGAGCCACAGCGGCGGCAAAGCGTGTGCATCTTCTTGCGACGCTTTCCAAAGGATGACGTTCCTCTCGTCATCTTGCTTCTGCCGCCGAGGCCAAAGAGGGCCACCGTCCATTTCTATGCAGCCACCCAGCCCTGGTCTTCTGTCAGCCTCCTCCTGTGTGCTTCTCGGGTGTGCACAGCAGACCGAGGAGTTCCCTGGAGCGGGCATAATCCCGTGGAGTTTATGGGTCACAACACAATTACCAGAAGGGAACAGCTGTCCCTCCTCCCAAAGTCAAGTTGCCTGTGGAAAAAGTCTGACTGGTCCACACTGGGATTCATCACGATGAAGGCAAGGGGAGGCAGTTGTGGTGCCTCACCGAGCACAACCAGGGCTTCCACAGGGCCACGCCTGTACACAAATCCTTGCTGAAAGCTGAGCTGATGATCCCCCCCCCCTTCCCGAGAAGATGCCTCATGGATCACCAAGGTGCTGGGAAGGGAGCGTGCCTACAGGGGTGTGTCCGTCTGCATCAGGCTTTCGTCCACATCTGATAGCTGCTCCTTCACACTGTCCCTGATGAAGTTCCACATGGCTCACGTCGGCTGCGCCAGACACCTCGGCAAGGACGGGGAGTCTAACACGTTCTCAGAGGTTCCCACAGAGCATCTGCAGACAGGCTCTTAACAATCAGATGGCTAGACAGCTGAGTGATGGGAAGAAAACGGACACGGTGCTTTGGAAATGTGTAATGAACATGTGATCCTCTTGCGGGGAAGAGTGGTGGATAAGGGCAGGCCTCTGTGAGGGAGTGAAGTTGAACTTCTGCTGCAGGAAGGATTAAGGTGAGGAGGACAAGAGGAAGGTGGGGGGGGGGAGGAAGGGCACCCCAGGCAATCACAGTACAAAGGCCTTTGGGTGGAGACCGATTGGTATGAGGTGAATCAGGAGGAAGAGGCAGAGGTGAAATCACACAGGTCCTGATGGCCTGGGACACGAGTCAGGAGGCAGCTGAAGTGGTCCATGTGGAACCTGAGCTAAGGCCAGATGGAGCTGGAGGTGGTGCTCCTGACAGTGACTAGGGGAATGGGCAGACTGAGCGTATCAATGCCTTTCTTCTTTAAGATTTATTTATTTATTATGTACACAGAAGAGGGCACCAGATCTCATTGCAGATGGTTGTGAGCCACACTATGTGGGTGCTGGGAATTGAACTCAGGACCTCTGGAAGAACAGTCGGGGCTCTTAACCTCTGAGCCATCTCTCCAGCCCCATCACTTCCTTTCTGCTTCATGCACATTTCTCATCGTGACTAATCACTTGGAAGGCTAGGATGACTGCTTCATAGTCTTGCTACTAACGCTAAGCCTTTCCTAAAGGAAAGCTGAGCAGTTCTGCATTTTTTTCCCTCAAAGGTTTTTCTTTTGCTGGTTCTAGAAGAATGCTTTCAGGTCCGAAATACTTCTTTGCTCCTTAGGTCCTTTCAACGTCTTCTTTGGGTCTCACGAGACTGGCAGCTCTGATATGTCAACGTGAATGACTGGTATGAGGTAACTGGGGCAGTGATGACTCCTGAGCCACTTCTGCTACCTCCTAGAGCTCTCTGCCCTCTGGAACTCACCATGGATCTGACCTGAACGGCTAGCTGAGACACAAGAGATGAAGTGAACAGTCGGTCGGTCCTTCCCTGTCTTTACTCCAATTCAGATTCCTGCCTTTCCGTTCTGGCTGTCACACAGCGGGAAGGCAGTAACGGGCCTTGTCACCTCCATGGCCAGCGTTACCTGAGGAGACTGGCACTGTTTTTAGTTTGGAGGCAGAAAGCGTGTTAATGAGTACATTCCACCAGGACCCACCAATTAGATACACTAAAATCATGTCACCGTGGCAACAAGCTGCTTGGTCTTCTGTCCCATATTGACCAGCTAATGATGGCACACAGAGGCAGGCAGTTCAAGTGCTTAAAGCTATCAGCACTAGGGTTGGACATACAGTTATCACGGCTCAGCAGCAACCGCGGAACTTGACCTCTGCTTTCGGCATCTGCCCCCGAGTCCTCTATCAGACGGGCCTGGGGACCACTGAAAAGCCAGGGGTGGAAGGCGAGCCGCCTTTTTGCATGGCCTCTAGAGTCTGGCTTAGCAAGGACCGGAAGGCTAGGTCCCCTTATTCCAGAGTGAACTTAGGTTTCACTATGCAGAGCGGGCTCCTGGGCACGGTGCATATGTAAAATCTGGTTAGCTCTGGCCAGTTAACGACTGCACGTTCAGATAAAGGGACTTAACTCACCAAACAGTTCCAAGGCTTATTAATTTCTCTGGCAGAAACTGAATGCAAAACCACACTCACATCGCACCTGTGGTTACACACAGAAGTGAGGCAAATCGAAGATATTGCTCCCTCAGGTATCCTAACTGTCAGAGTGTAAAGCTATTTATTAAAAGTGAACTACAGAGCTGAATTCAGATCCACGTATATGTTCCAGGATTCGCTAAGACAAACTTGGAGATAATCTAGGAGAGATTTCACTACCTTTGCTGGTAGGAAAGAGGAGGAAGCTGCGCGCAGGAGCTCTTTGAAGTAAGTAGATGAGATTAGTGACTGACAAGAAAAGCCGCAGTATTACTCCCGACTCAAATTTTAAAATCTGGCCTTGATGCTAGGCACCCCATGACAAAGTCTACGTCAGGATATGCCAACAGGAGTGCCTGATGGGCAACACACTTTGTTCCCGTTTCTCGGGCTAGTATCCTGGAAGGGGAAGGTTTCCATTAGATGAATAACTGGAACTTTATACAAGTGTATAACCAAGTAGGTAATGTGTGACTTAAAAATTGATATTCACTAGGCCAGGGGATTAAAATAATTCAGACATCTGGGGCTGTCACTAAATGATACACGAATGTTTTTGTAACATTTGCATCATATTCCACATTTTATGAGAGTATAATTCCTCAAACACAGAGTTAAAAAGGGATCTATTGGGTTTTAAATGCATTACCAAGGTGTCACAGTAGGAATTTCCCAAATTGGCTACAAAATATTGCAGAAAAAAAAGCCCTACAACTGCAAAGCCATCTTGATATATTCCTCGAATTGAGGAAACAAATTACAAGCATGAAAACATTTGCATACTACATACTGCTTTGACTGTGCAGCGGCATTTGTTTGCAATGCCTAGAACGTGCGCTGTAAACGGCAGCCACAAATCACGGTGCGCATCATAACAGGGGTTTGCCTGGTCTAAGGCTCTCCTCCTAGGAGCCATGGGGGAGACTCAGTACCGAGGTTTTGAGACAGTTTCCTTGTGGATGCAGAAGCTGCTGAGGGAGACCTTGTTCTTGGAGAAGGAAGGGGCCGTGCCTGAAGTCGAAGCACGTGGGCAGCCTGGATCATAAGCACAGGAGGCTGGGCTTTTCAGGATACAGAGAGAAGCAGGTGATGTACAGTGCTTAACTCCCATAGAGTAGCATCTGTCTTCTAGGAGTGAAGGAACACACTTCCCTGTTCACTAGATTCAAAGTTAATGAGACGCGCGGAGGACTCCGGGGAGTTTGAGCAGTGCCAGCTGCCACAGAGAGGCCATGATCCATCTAAAATAACATCACCACTGGGAAGAGAAACCCCTGGGAGAAGGAGGGATGGGGCCCGGTGCGCGAGACAGGAACACTGGAAAGCAGCGCGCCACTGGAACTGACTGGTCTGGGCTCCGGCTTCCTAAAGCCAACCTTGTACTCTGGGGAAGGTGGTCAAAGTCAGAAAGATGGCCGCCGGCGTTCCCCTTCTCCTAACACTCAGGCTTGTGTGGGCCATGCCGGCAGCAGACCAGGATCAGTCTGAGCCCAGGGAGAGGCCGTGGCCATATCCTGAGAATCTAGGAAGAGGTTCACAGAGTGGGGTGGTGGGGGAGGAACCGAACCAAGCCTTCTGCGGGGAGCTGTGTGGGCGAGCTTCCAGGAGGAGCCTGAGGCAGAGTCAGGCTCTCGGCTAGACTGCCTCTGGCTTCCGGTCCCTGGAAACTCTGTGATATATCTGCTGTTTTAGGCTGGCCAAACAATCGATTCCTATCTTCCAGCACAATGAACTCAATATACCTCATTAATTTTCTAGCTGATATATGCTACAAGTCACCGGCTGCGGATTAATTAGGGTAATTTCTCATACGATAATGGTTAACTAATATGGGGCTGCAGCGCTTTGCCTTTGGAGGTGAGGTGGTAGAAGCCATTTCATTTCCTGTGTGGGAAATGAGTCTAAGCAGGAACGTCTACTCGTGAGGATACCAGAGGCAGAGCCGAGTCCCGGCATCGCGGACACTGCCTTAGACAGTAACAGCTGTTAAATTAGGTGAAAGTATTCACTTTTCATGAGTGTGTGTGTGTGTGTGTGTGTGTGTGTGTGTGTGTGTGTGTGTGTGCAGGTATACATGTATGTCTATGTATATGGCATCCAGGGGACAACCTTGGGTACCTTTCCTTAAGAGGCACCATCGACCTTGCTTTTGGAGACATGGTCTCTTACTGGCCTGGAGCTTGCCAAGTAGACTAGGCTGGCCGGCCAGCGTGCTCCAAGGGTCTGCCTCCCCCTCGCCAAGCGCTGGGATTACAAGCATGTGCTCACAATGCCTGACTTCCTCCCTTGGATTCCGGGGTCACACTTAGGGCCTCAGGCCTATAAAGCAGGCGCTTTACTGACCGACCCACCTTCTGTGCCCTTACCGACTAATTCACCCTCAATAGCATTGAGAATGTGAGAGAAAATGAGACCACAAAATCACTGTCTCCTCCCAGACGGTTACGGTAATTTTACTACACAAGTGGGACACTTCAAGAATTGCTCTTTGTCTTTTTTCCCCTTGGTGACGGGAATTCTCACACATGCTAGGCAAGTGCTCTACCACTGAGCCATATTCTCAGCCTTCTCTTTGCCAATGGTTGAAGATTAGTTAGTTATAGAATGCACAGAAAATCCATTAAAACAATTGTAACTTCTGCACTGAAGGTACAACAGGATCCATTAATATCCTGATCAATGATAACAGCAATTTCGTATACAATGTCCAGTAAAGAGGAAGTGGCCATCCTAATCTTCTATTTAAGAAGACTATTATTGTATTTATTTTATTTAAAAATTACACACACACACACACACACACACACACACACGGGTGTTGTGTCTGCATGTATGTCTGTGTATCAGGTGCATACTCATGGAGCCCAGAAAGGGTGTCAAAACCCCTGGCACTGGAGTTACAGATGGTTGTGAGCCACCATGTGGGTGCTAGGAATTGAACCTGGGTCTTCTGGAAGAGCAGCCATTGCTTTTAATCAGAGAGCCATCTTTCCAGCTCCTCTTTCTTCATTTTAGAGATAGGGTCTCATTGTGTTGCTCAGGCTGCCTTGGTGAATTCCCAAGCTCACCATTCTGAATCAACCTCCTGAGCAGCTAGACTACAGGGGTTCACACTACTTAATTTCCAATATCATTCATCGTGAGATATCTGCATGGAAATTTGAAAATATTATCAAAATAGTTCACTGGTATCTTCCAGAGCAATGAATTCAATATACCTCATTTACTTATTTATTATATTTATATTATTTGAATACACTGAAAATTACTGACATCCTATTATGTTGTGTTTTGTTTCCAACTGTAGCAAGTGTGAAGAGCTGTAAGAGCCTTCACAAACTGGAGAAATTAAAAGAAGGAAAAAAGAGGCTCAAGATTTTGGCTCTAAGCTGGGCAGTAGTGGTGCACACCTTTAATCCCAAATTCAGGAGGCAGAGGCAGGTGGATCTCTGAGTTAGAGGTCAGCCTGGTCTACAGAGCGAGTTCCAGGACAGCCAAGGCTACACAGAGAAACCCTGTCCCCCAAACCAAACAACAAATAGCAAAACAAACAAACAAAAATAGATTTTTGACTCCATATCCCATGCCAAAGGCTCCATTTCTACCCAGAACCATAGAATTTTGGAGTAAAAAAAAAAAAAAAAGGTTAGAAATCATCGAGAGAAGCAGTGGTTCTCAACCTTCTTAATGCTGCGACCCTTCAATACAGTTCTTCATGTTGTGTGACCTCCAACCATAATTTTTTTTTTTCTTGAGACAGGGTTTCTCTGTGTAGCTTTGCGCCTTTCCTGGAACTCACTTGGTAGCCCAGGCTGGCCTCAGACTCACAGAGATCCACCTGGCTCTGCCTCCCGAGTGCTGGGATTAAAGGCGTGGACCACCACTGCCCGGCTTTTGTTGCCACTTCTTAACTGTAATTTTGCTACTGTCATGAATCATAATGTTATAAGTATCTGATATATGACCCCTGTCAAAGGGTCCCTGGATGCCCCCCAAGGGGCTGCACCCCTGGTCTAGGACATTAAAATCTGGATCAATATAACGGCTGTAAAGTGAGCGATTTTCTGGTCATCTTCCAAATCTTGAAGGCTGCAAAGCTGCACAGACTAAGAATGGACGGGAAGTTCAGGTCGCTGCTTTTCCCCTCATTTCCTCTTTGAACAATGAAAAATGAGCAGGAGACACTGGTGGGCTGTGGCAGAGCATTCTGAGGCGCAGAGGGCAGTCAGCAGCGGGGTGACAAGTCAGTGGCCACATGAGGATGAAGAAACGGGCAGGATGGGGGCTGCATACCTGCCCGAGGGCCAGCCTTACCTCCATTCTGTAAAACAGACTAGGCTCCTGTCTTAGTCAGGGCTTCTGGTGCCAGGATAAAACACCATGACTAAAAGCACTTTGGGGAGGAAAGGGTTATTATAGTTTACAATTTGATATCAGAGTCCAATCTGGAGAAATCAGGGCAGGAACCTGGAGGCAGGCGCTGGTGCAG